AAATAGTGCCAGTGCGAGCCTCTGCGAAGCAGAGGTGACGCACTGGTAGTACATACAGTGCTAATATAGCATTGGAACCACCCTAAAAAATCAGGTTATTTGCCCTGTCTTTGACGAAATTGTCTAAAAAAACACTATTTTGTAAACCAATGTTATAGCTCATATTAAAGGGCTCCAAACTTCATTGATCGTTGGAGAAAAACTGAAAATTAAAAAGAACATGTTTAAAACATTGGTCACAGCTATAGCGTCACCTTCTATTTTCAAGCAATATTACAGAGTTGGGGGAAAATCCTTGGACAACTTTTGATTTTTTTTTGTATGTTCGGATTTTTCACATACTCTTGTAAGCTACTTACATATATTTGCACCTCATACCATTAAGTACAAACTCCGCAAAAACTGGATTATTGACTTTATTTCCATCGGAGATGTGCCTTCAGAACCGGTGCGAGCGTTGGTGGCGAAGATGCACGAGAGAGGATGGCTGACCAGCAGATTGCGCGGGATCCCTAAAATTCACAGATCAGCGATCAGACATGCATATTATGATAATTTTCTTCATTCAAAAATGCATACAGTTTAATCTCATCAACGTAAATCTGCATTTTGACTTCATTTGAGTTTAGTAAGTCAGGGAGCTTAATGATAAAGATTAAAAACAGTAGGGTGATAGCACACCACCTTGAGGGACATCACTAGAGCAATGATAACGTCTAAAATAAGCCTGTCGCACTTTAACGGTCATATAGCTATCTTGAAGATACTGGAGACTTATTTGCAATTTTTCGAAATATCCACTTGACTGTTAAAGCAATTCTGATTAGCTCTATAACGCATGTGTGATTCCTCATTTGGAATATTGCTCGCAGGTTTGGAGTCCAACACTCAAGAAAGACATTTTGAAAATTGAAAAAGTTTAACGAACTTTCACACGTATGCTAATTTCTCGAATATCTCAGAAAACCTCCTATAAGACATTGCCTGATTACAAAGAACGTCTCAGGATAACTGGATTGAAATCGCTAAGTTGTAGGAGAGTTATGGCTGATTTGACCTTCTGCTTTCGAATTTTGCGAGAGATTGACCTTCGGGCCAGCAGCTTGAGTGTTCAGACCAGTAAGCTGCAGACTTGGAGGTTTCAATCTCCATATTTGTAGAGCCAAAAAATGTTTTTATGCAGGACTCTTTAACTGCCTTTTTTATCGCTGTGCTCGGTGGTTTCGCAGATTACCTACAAAACTCTTAGCTGCAAAAACAAGCCACTCATTCAAAAAAGCTTTGTCAAATATTGATTTCTCTGAACTTTTTGGTTGTGAATCATATCTTTCCTGATTTTTTCGTTCTAAGTTTTTTCAGGGTTGAGCTATGGAATTTTGTCTTGATTTTTGGTTCAAATGGTTTTTTTTATCATTCATTTCATTTTCGCTTTATTTCGCTGTTGCTGTTTATATTTCAGGCTCTGTTTCTCCGGTGCTTATTCTGTTCTGCATATTTATTCTGGCCTTCTGATTTATTGGATCCAATATGAGACAACTTCCCCATTATCGGTCGTCACGAGAAATTAAATTGCCTTACTACTCAGTCTGGCGACTTACTTTCTACTGTCTCGACCTTCATATCTATCCTACATGTGTTTGATGATATAACATACTAACAACCGCTCATTATGCCAGACAATCACACTGTACCTTCTTTTTTTACATACTACTACCTCATCCTCAAAAACCTTTGCATCCTGTTCTGTATGGATAACTCGACTTACACTCAAAACGTTCATCCATACCTATGACTATTTCGATACTTGTGTAAAGGCAATATCTATTCCACATAATACTTATTTAGACCTAATCTTACTGCAATATCACTTCTTCTACGTTGTCAATTTCTCTGATCTTGCATTCTCGTTGGATTTATTGCACGCCGCTCAACACGGAGGTAGTGGGGGCGTCGGGTAGTTGAAACAGTCCTAGGTACGCATGGATTTTGCCACATCGCCTAGGTACCATCCGCCAAAGCGTACCACTCGAAAGTGATGGGTCACATCCCATCATACTCCGTTATCTTGAGCTTAATGTAATACCTCCAAGAATGCCCTCAGATTAAAGCCTTGATAACGTTTAAAATTTATTTATTGCCCTTATGCAGTATAGATCTGTTCCGTCTTATACCGTTGAATGGGTACGAGGTTTTTGAGTGTAATAATATTCTTATTTATTACTTTCTATGCAGTGTGGCTAGGTTGGTCTGTGCTCTTACTCATTTTTTGGTGCACCTCGAGTGTAATAGATAAAGATAAAGATACTCCCGGCTAACTACATGAGGGGGCTAGAGGGTGCAGCACACCAAGCCAACGACCGCAGGATTGTTGTCTGAATGGAGCCGTACATTGAAAGATGAATATTTGTCGAGATAATGCTTGAGGTCGTCCAATCCTACTATAATAACGCGCTAAGAGTGTTTACGTGTTTTTGTGTGTGTGTCTGTCTGAATGTCTGTCTGTCACAAAATTCATAGAGCGAGTTCCAGCGAAGATCTTGAGCTGGAATTTTGGTAGTAGCACCGTATCAGCATGTAAGTAAAGTGTGCAAAAGCACAAGCCGATCCGCTGGGTGGAACATGTAAAAACTATGCGCCAAACAGTCCACGCGACTATTGGCGCGCCAAAGTGGGCCTTTAATTGAACTTTTTCCAAATCGTGGATTTATTTGGCTGGAAACTAAGTTTTGCAACTGGTTTCATAACTTCACTCCCTTTGGATGTGGCGCATTCGAACTTTGGCATTGTAGCAGGCAATGTGAGCTACAAGTGAGCACAAATTGTCTAGATTTTGAACACGAAATAGAAAAGTTTCATTCTTCGAAAACTAATGGAATTTGAGAATTTTTGGGGTTTCAAGATAAAATGAAGCCTTTGGCAGCCTAGACCATGCGCAGTAATCCGGATTTGTCTACAAAATATTGCTGGAGGTTGAGTTTTGAACACGAAATAGAAAAGTTTCATTCTTCGAAAACTAATGGAATTTGAGAATTTTTGGGGTTTCAAGATAAAATGAAGCCTTTGGCAGCCTAGACCATGCGCAGTAATCCGGATTTGTCTACAAAATATTGCTGGAGGTTGAGTCCTTTGGCCCATTAAGAAAGAAACAAAATTTAGGGGTATGTCGAGATTTGGCGTCCTCATAAAGTCGCACGAGTCGATGTACGCAAGAGCTGCTGGGGACGACCGTTAATGACTAAAGAGTCCGAAGCTCAAATTCCGCCGAGACTTTACATAGTAAGGTTATTTGACCTGCCAAACGCGAATATCACATTCATTTGTTGAATCAACGCCTTTTTCCTTGTTTAGGGCGAGCCCCCATATCGTACACCTACAGTAATCCTAAAAAAGCCCTTATCGCGCAGTTTCACTATCGCTTTCGTGATCAGCATGTCGGATAGCATCCCATGCCAAGTTTCAGCCAAATCCGTCAAACTTTAAATTCTTCCCCTTCATACCATGCACCTACCGTAACCCTCACTGCGAGGTCAGAATTTGGTAGGACGGCAGCTGCGCTTGCGTAATAACCAACGCAGTGGCAAAACTTGAGTGCGCAACGTTGAGTGATGAGACCAGTTGCAAAACTTCGTTTCCAACCTAATATCTAACAAGTAACACCGCAAACCATGAGCTCTAGCCCGAAAAGTGAGGAAAAAATCTATTAGGGTGAACGGTAAAAAATGGGACACCTTGAGAATAATTGCAGATTTATCAAGGAAGAAAAGTGACTGAACTTTCCAATTTTGATGGATATTAGAATAAATTATTCTCTTTCAGAAAGTACCTATATAAGGTCATTTAATTTATTGAATTTTTATACTTGCTGAAATGCAAAGTCAGTCACTTCGATAAATTACGAAGTTTGAGCAGTATCGGCGCATTGAAACATGTGAGACCACCCAAAGTACCGCTGCTGGAGTGAGTGGTGGGACAGTCACCAAACCCACGACGGCTTGGTGGCTTTAACTCTCAATGTCAGGAGATATACCCATTAACAGCTTCGAAAATAAAGATACGCGTTATTCAATTCTTTGCAGGTAAACGCAGGATTTCTGGGTATCATCTGATAGAGCTTTTTACGCTCTATCCATCCATATGCAGCTTACTTCAGATTTTATCTATCTTCGGAAAATATAGGGCAAAACATGATTTTTTGGTTTTTTGTTGCGCCAAAAATAGCTATTTTCCAGGTTTTTTCGAATTTTTTTTCTGAAATTGAAAAGAAATCTCATGCATTTAACATATCGTTCGAAAGAGCATGAAGAGCTCTTTCGAATGGTGTGTCATTTGCTTTACGACTTTACGGTATAACAGCGCAAGATTGAGGATTGTGCAAAAAACTCTGTTCGAGTTCTTCACGGCGCCACGTGTAGGGTAGTGGAAGAGGAGCGTTAACGCGTTGTCAGAATAATAAGCGAAGGTCGCCCATGTAAGCGACGTTTAAGTTGCTGCTTACTTGCTATTGCCAGAAACAAAAAATTCCAAAATGTAATGAAAATCAAGCTGTCCCATTTTTTACCGTTCACCCTAATACTTTCACGCAAGATCGGCGTCAAAAAGGAATAATTGCGTAAGTAGTCGATTTGTCAAGGTTTTACCTAAGAATTGAAGAAGATTGTTGCTTAGAGATGTAACCCAAGGTTGTCATCATCCTTATGCCGACTATTAAGCCATTATAACTCCAGTAAGAGATTCAAACCCGCAGTTAATCTTTTAGAGAATACTTTCTTCCTTTCAAAGTCACCGATCTTACATAAAAAAGCTTCTGAAATGAGTAGTTGCTCACAGTTCATCCCTGATGATCGGCATCGCGCGGTATGTTTCAAAGGCATCATTTTACGATTTCGAAGAAGGCAGTGGTAGTAGGACCAGTGCGAGCCTCTGCGAAGCAGAGGTGACGCACTTGTAACAACATAAACCATCTCAATGACAAATCACAAGGAGAAACTTTCATTGTTCGAAGACTATGAATACGTGCGGTCACTGTGATCGCAAAATAGAGCATGAACCTGCGCTTTTTGCTAGAGGAAGGGTGGGTTACAAATTCCTCGTTGTTGCATTCTTCAACGTATACTCAGCTATGGCACGTAAATCATCTCCTATGCAATATGTGTGGTTGCCGTATTCAAGAAGAGGAAAAGTTTGAAGACAAGGAAGGCGTCATCGCATGTCGTCACTGTTACCTATACGGAAACAATCCTAGATGTTCGGGTATGTCAGAAACTATGAGGCAGCTTATAAGGACACTATATTAGGTAACCGTAAAAAAACAAAGCTTTGCTCACATATGTCTTCAGATCCGACAAATGATAATACAATGGCGGCTATTCGATGAGCCCCTATATTGATTCGTTGATTTCTAACATTTTGCAAAAGAACGCATTCTTAAGGGCACTGTTTATAGAAGCTGTATGATAGCGAACCCCTTGTCTAGGTAAGCCCAAGTCCCGCTGCAAAGTTTGAGTCCGAAGGAGCTCGCTCCAGCAGTCTAGCGGACAGTCCGTCCGCCCATGAACGCGTGTAGTCCGCACGCAATGTGCGGTGTTTTGGGTGCAAATATTAGGTTGTCCGGAAAATAATGTCGCATGACAACCTACCGCGACAGAATGACCAAAAAAAATCGAATGGGGTATCATTTGTTAGACTACAAGGTAGTTTACAAACCCTGGGGAAATCTTGCTCCACCTGAAGTTCGAATCTAAAATGTAAAAAATTTCAGATACCAAAACGTATTTCCGTTCATAGACGTCTTAGAGATCTCCAGTTTGCACAGGCATGCACTCTCCACATTAGGCATTCACCTGTATAGCTTGTGGTATTTTTCCATGGCTACAGTGCGACAAACAAAAATAGGTAAAAAGTGCGAATACGTCGCGTTTTTCGGTTTTTTTTTGCAAACGTGTCTCGAAAACTATCGCTTGTCCAAAGCTGAAAATTTACGGTTACTCTCCTAAAAGTCCAAACTACAAAACCACCCATGTGAGAGAAGCTCAGGATTGCTTCGGCAAAAATATGCCGAATTTCGTTTTCTCAATTTTTAGCCATGTAAAAACTGCGGAAATGTGCATACGAGCGTCTTGTATAGTGAGTCCATGCGTGAGCAGTTAAAGGTTTCCAGGACTTTTCTGAACGGAAATATGATTTTTTTCGTTTTTTAGATCTTTAGTGCCTTACGATATTTGGCTCCAAACTTCACGCAAATCAAAGTTGGCGCGAGGTTCGAGCTTCATTTTGTGGAGCTTGTTTTAATCTATCGTTGGTACCCCATTTGCTTACTTTCGTGCTCACCCTGCCGCGATTTTGCATGATGAAACGCGATGTGACATTACTTTCCAGACAACCTAGTAGCTAAAAATGTAGAAAAATGTTGTATGTAATGAAAGACACATTTCGACGTATTTAACTATACGCCGTATTTTCACATTTCTTTCGGACCACCCATGTTGATGGGAAGGACGGATATGTCTGCAAGCACATTCTGCAACTATTTTTCGTGATCAATTCTTTGCAGCGGGACTCGAGCAATTATTTAGCCAGAGGCCTCTTACGCAGCATCAGAACTCACCTGCCTTAGTTTATGTGGGCTGTGCCTTTGAAGACAATGTTCCGACAAAGGTTTCGCTCTCCACTTTTTGCCTTTTCGGAGCACTCTCGCCATGCTAAACCCGTATATAGGCTTTGCAACGCATGAAAATGGCAAAACCGAGGTGTTGTTTTTTTTTTGAAGCTCTGCATGCCCGCATTTTCTGCACGATACGTGTAAGTGGGCGGGTCCGAAACAAAGGTGCGGGTTCCGAAAGACTTCCAGATTGGATTTTAGGCTTTCCAGACGCCTTTTTTCGCTCCAGCATGATAGATTAATTGGGGGCTGCCATTGCAACACTATAAAATCCCGGTACCAATTCATTTTGCCGGGACGCTGCCTTTAGTATCCGCTGCCAATCTCCTGTTCAGTTCTGTGCAAACATTAACAGTAGCTTACATTCATACAATTATGAGCGACGGGTAATTTAAAATCAGTTATCTATGAGGACCAGCACCCTAAGCTTAGTTTAGATTTGAGAGCATATATTAAGGTAATTTTGCTTAGAGTGACTGTAAAACGATCTGAAGTCCCTGGTGGAAGAAAACTTTGGATCGATAGCACATGCCATAATCTCTACTATGCCTTTTTGCCAATTTCTTAAGGCAGACTTTTCCCTCGAACATTGAGTAAATAAATAAGAGCCGACTAGGACTTACCGTAGAGAATGTCTTGAAGCAAAAGGTGGAAAAGATCTGTGCTACGGATATCCTAAAGGTCTCTTGAAGATACCATAAACCTTCTTTATTTAAACCCAGAACCTCCTATGTGCAGAAAACACACTGAAGCGCTTCGAAATTCCATTGTACTTCTTGCGGTAAAAGATGAAATCTTTAAGTGAGGTTGAAGATATCTTGATACATTGCAGCGAAGAAAGGAATAGCGCCACAAATTCTTGCTTGCAAATAGATCATACAGTCTGCTCCAATCGGGATCAGGCCGAACCGTCGGCTGAATTTGCGCGCTCGCAGCGCTAGGGGATTGCGCTGCATACGCGCGCTCTCGCAGAGAGCGAATAGATTGAGGACAGAGCAGACTAGCCAGACGCAGAAGTGACGCGAACCCTCGCGATGCGCACTCCTGCCAAGCCAATTTTGGCCTGGTTAGGATTGGGGCAGACTGTAGTTGGCTTGGATTTGGCGAAGGCCCCTCTCTGCACACGACTTGGCCAAATTATTTGAAACACTCAATTGATCTGGCATCTCTTCTCCTCTGCCAATGCTGACACAAAACCGCGTTTTAACAGAACGCTGTTCAAATAATTTACGAGTGGCCGAACATCAAATCGGTGGGCTCGAATTTGTTATTCCTATCCGGTGTAGCCTTGATTTCTCGACGAGAACCGCGGAAAATTAAGAGATCTTAGAAGCAATTATTTTCACGTTCACCACCAAACAAGTTCTATATACATTAAGTTCAGCATTACAATATAACTACCGCAAAGGATGAAAGCAATCAAAGTAAATCGATCAAAAATAATTCTTGAATGAGCTCTATTCTAGCACCATAAAAGCATGGAAAAAATACTACCCTGATAAAACCGAACAATACGCAACTTCCAACAAACTTCTTCTTCTCTGGATTCATTCGCTTTCAGATGAGAGTCAGAACATTGAGTTGTTGTATCCAACGATTTTCTGCAATACCACCGCTTCAAAATTAAGCTCGCTTCCTCTCCTTTTTCTCTACTTCGGTCGACCTTACACTACTCGCTAAAAAGACTCACATTATATTGTGATGATTTGAGTTTTATCCAGTTCTGCGAGTCTACGCTGTTGGGGATTCATTTTAGACTCGCGAGAAACTTTTATTATAACCATCATTTACCAGGCCCTGCTCTCCTGTGATTGTCTAGGCACCCTGCGCTTATGAGACTGATCGTTGTGAAAAAAAAACATCTTTTGGAATATTTATTTTTCTGTTACTGTGTTCCCTATTTTGAGAAGGTAGAACTGATGTAGTGCGGATGAAGGCCAGAGAACGTCTAGTCCCACCTGGTATGGCTGTGATCAACATGTTTAGGCTGTTACGATGGCATTGATGTCAAGTATGTAGAAGCGATGGGGGAGTTATGGCACAAAACATGCTTCCAGTGTAGTATGTAAGCTATTACCGATTATAAGATTCGAGATCAAAACAACGAGAGAATATTTGCAGCTGTTTGCAGCCGTTAACTCGTAATTTTGTGGAAAACGAGAGGGGTCTGCCAATGCACAGACATTGTTTCTGGAAGGAATTGTTGTACAAAGAAGTCGTTTTGAACTCAAAAACTACGAGATAGCTAGCAGACAACCATTCACAAGGGTGCCATAAATAGAATATGCTTCGCCAAGTATTTTCAAGAAGTTTAAAAATAAGATCCGATCTAAATAAAAATCTAGATGATGATCGCATCTCAGACAAGCGGGAGGCGACTCCCTTCCTATCCTCATTTCGGAGCTGTTAGAGAGCGGCCATTTTCGTTACACTTTCTAGTGAACGCGGAAATGAAAGTAAGAAAAACAGCAGAACAGATAATGCAACGCATATTCTTAACAGGTAAATTCTAAAAGAAAGTGTTTATCAGTATTTTTGTTGAAAGTGCGAGCATCTGAGACTTAAAGGCAGTGTCCAGGCAAATCTGGACCCTTTGGTTTTTTGCATGAAAACTGATGGGGGACCACTGACTAAACCACTGCCCGAATTGCAGCGCACGGGACTCACTCACGGCAGAGAAATCGGCCTCCGAGCCCGTCGCCCCCGCGCCGTGACCGTACCACTTCAACAGCCTAAACGCACATCACGGTCCCGGAGCGAAACCATGAGGACAGGATATAGCGCGCAAACTCGTTGCACAAATACTGCAAACTTCCTAATTCTTCTGCTTTTCGTGAATTGCCCTTGTTTTCCATGTTTATTGCGGCGGCTTCTCTCGGCTGCCTTTTCCGCATTGTTTATGGTGTTTTCGTTGATTACATTTGAGATATCTTCATTTTCCGTGCTATTTCGTACCCTCCCAACGAGTTTCCGCGCTACACCCTGTCCTCATGGTTTCGCGCCGGGACCGTGATGTGCGTTTAGACTGTTGAAGTATTACGGTCACGGCGCGGGGACGACCGATTCGGACGCCGATTTCTCTGGCATGAGTGAATCCCGTGCGCTGCAACTCGGGCAGTGGTTTAGTCAGTGGCTCCCCATCAGTTTCCACGCAAAAAACCAAAGGGTCCAGATTTGCCTGGACACTGCCTTTAATGGTTTCGAAAACATTATCTTTCGTTAAAGCGTAAAGATTTGTGCTCGCAGATGCGATAGGTTTTATTTTTGCTTCTGTCATTCTTGGTCTGATCTATTTTGGGCCTTTCCTTCTCTTACCCTGTTATCTAATTTGTTTTCTACTTCCTTCCGCCCTGAGTCTAACTCAGTATCTTTGCTTATTGCCTTAATGCTGGTCAATTTGTCAACTTTATTTGACTAGTCTTACGATTCCGTGTCATCGAGTTTTTCTGCCCGTTTCTTTTTGGAGAACAACAGGTTGCTTGCAAATTCAAGTCATGCTAGTAAATGCTTGCTATATCACAACTTATTGTGGGTGGTCCGCCCTCACGCAAAATTCTGGCTTCACGACTGGTACATTGACTGGCAAATGTGCGTTTAGGATATGATACTCTCTATGAAAGAGAGGAACAAAGATCTCATCATTGAAACGATGCCGTTTGATAAAATGTCTTATGAAATTCAGCAAGTTGTTTCCCCTATTATTAGGTTGGTGCAAAAGTAATGCGCGTTTTGCGAGTTCTCACTTTGACGTGCTATAACTTTTTAAAAAAATCCATATTTCTGAGTGCGGCGAAGTTCATCAGAGGCACCAAACCTCTCTCTATACAGCGCACATTAACTTATGTTATTGTCGCAAATCGGTGGAAAAATATGGATTGATAAGCAAAAAAAAATTTTTTTCGGAAACCTCGTATTTAACTGATCATAACTTCCTTCAGGATTTGTCGGTATGAATGATAAGTTGACTGTCTTATAGCCGCAAGCCAGTAGTACAAAAAAAGTGCAAAAGGGCTCAAATAAAGAATATTTGCGAAAAGGAAAAAATGATATCCAAAATAGTCCGCTTTTTTCGACATTTTTTCGTAGCCCTAAAAATTCCAAAATATGGAGATTTTTGATTTTCTGTGTACCGAACAGCTTCCACAATTCTGCAAAAACTGTCAGTAGGAGGCCCACCCTTACGCTTACAGAAATGAGCAAAATTTTGGCGATTGCCCTTTTCAAAGGAAATTTTTGGGCCACAGAATGGCCAAAACCATCACTCATGTTGAGGCGCCGAGATCTCAGTCTAAGTAATTTCTAGGAAAACAGTAAAGCATGCATTATGTAGAAAATTTCCACTACATACACTAGTTAAGTTTTCAAAAGCATGCCTTTACCCGCGCTTGAATTCTGGCCCAAAAAGTAAGTGCAATGAAATTCTGGTTTTGAGTGCTCTTGTATGAAGCTCTATAAATTTTTAACGAATGAGGCTAGAAGCTTCTTTCAACCACCGTTGAATAGAGCATGAAAAAAGCTTCTTGATAAGTGCTAGGTAAGTTTCACAAGAGAAACTTCGATGGAGATAAGCTATCTTGAAACAAGGGCTAAAAAACGCGCATTACTTTTGCACCTACCTAATAGTTCAATGGATTCTCTAACGCTCGCTTCCTCCGCTCTTCCGAGTTTTCAGGTAATTTCCACGTAAAACTATGACCAAGGGAGAGCGGAGGAAAGAATACAAGCTAATAGGCGAGAGAGCGGAAAAGATATTGCGCATTACGTGGTTCCACCACAAAGGCTCACACACGTATCCGACCTACCCGCAAGACTTCAGCAATCCAGTAAGTAAGCATAGGACTATTAATGCTTCAGGAGTGGTAGTGATTTGGTCGAAACCAACGAATGATGTGAGATAGTTCAATCATGATTACATCGTGGTGGACATGGTCATCTTTTTACGGCAACTCAACTCAATCGGTCATACAAAATCATGAAACAAGCAAGTAACTCTTGAAAACCATACTTGTTTCATGCTTGTTTCATTCTCAACCATACTACGAAGTTTCCAGCCGGTTAACATCACTGTTTTGCTATCAATTAGAGTAACGAAGATAACACTTTATTCGATGAGACGCAGACGTAAAACCATCATATCGTTGTTAAAAATGAAAATATACCCCTGATCACTTTTTCGTTTGAAACAATGACGTATTGGTTTTACAAGTTGAGAAGAATGAGGGAAATCATTCTGCAACTTACTATGATTGGAAGTTTGGTCCCATTCAATAACATCGCTTTGCTAAATCTAGAATCGAATGAAATATGCTTAACTTCTGCGCTTCTGTTACCTTGTGGTTTCACCGAGAAAATGATGTGAAGCTACAGTTTACATCGTGTAATGAAAACTTAGTAAAGATGATGGTCCAGACCAAATTACTACCACTCCAGATTTTATCTCTTAAACTCGCAGTTTGGTAAAATAGATAACCTTCCTTCAATTCTTTGCTTGTACAAAACTGATTTTTATACGTAACTGAATCCTGGTTTGCTTCGTGAGTTAGTGATTCTAAAATTGCATCTAATTTATCGTAGTTGATCTACCGCAGTAATAGGCTAAATCGAAGAGAGGAGATGATTGTTAATCAAGGCAACATAACGATCGGTAAAATTAAGACACTGTATATATTATATCCTTCCGAGATTTGTCATGCTACCATGTCGATAAAAAATCGCACAGCACCCGGTCTTGAAAGGATCAAGCCAGAACACCTGGAATTATATCCACGAAAGTCCCCGCGAAATGGTCTTTTCGTGCGAAAAAATGGACTTAGTCCATGCGGTGCGATAAGATATCGCATTCGCGAATCCATTCATTCGATACAAAAATGCTTAAGCAAACCTTTTTCCAACTTGTCTCAACCTTTTGCTCACTCTTCCAAACTCATTTCCATCAAGTGGTCGATATCTGACTAGGCTGACCTAACATTACAATATCAGTTACGTTGAGATTCGTTTCTTTCCCACTTCGTTACACCCCTTAAAGTGCCATTTATCATCGATGACGATGCATATGAATTACTCCCAAAACTAAAATTCATGTAAAATCCGGGCCTTCGCTTCTCAAGACCTATGAATCCCATTGAATTAAATTCATAATTAGAGCTTTGTGCAGAAAGCAAACTTTGGCTGGACTTGCACTGCAATCTGTAAATTACAATGCTTATTAGGAAAACTACTACACTACAACCCAAAGAGTTTTTTTTAATCTGGAAAATTATGGATTTGCAAAAGACTTCGCAAATGCACTACTTTAGCTCTTCTTTGTCTTTCAGCACTAATGTTTATATCTCTAAGTAGTTAAATGTACGGACCATTGCTAAAGAAATTTTTCACAATTTTTCTTGCTAGCTAGCGGCACTTCATTAATTCTTGCGACCAAACTTAAAATCGCGTTTGAAATGCCGTCTTTGAGGTTCGGTTTTACGAGAATAGTCAAAAGATAGCTTCTGAGTAATTGTATTAAAACGCAAACCTTTTTTTTTTACTTTCAAGCACAAATCATAAATTTAGTTTTGGTTGATGATTTGGAGAGTTAACAAACTTTATACGATTTACATAGGAATATTCGCATCGACCTGATATTTGGAAGCATTTGAGTTTGTTAGCGGATATTTTGGTGATTTCAACCTTCTTCCATGATTTTTATAGCGTTTGTATGAGTTTGGAAAGAAACACTTATTTCAGATTTCATAAAAAACATAAAACTTTTTCCACTCTCTTGTTACCTCAAAATAGGCTAAGGAACACATTCTCAAAAAATCGCAACCAAAAATATGCAAAAAGGTCAAAAATGGACTTAGTTCCAGCTCATCTTGCTGCTGGGAGTAAAATGGGCTTTCAAGTCCATTTAAAATGGAGGTAAATCCTATTTTGCCCCATTCTAAATGGACTTTTGACGTCATCTTTCGCAAGCGAGAGCTCAGGTAGGGTTGAATCATTTTCATTTCACCGCATTGCCCCGTGGTTGGGATGGGATGAAAATTTTTGGATAACGCGAGCGAAAGCAGATTCCGACCACTCTTCACCACGAACGAATAAAATGGGGCTTGAAAGTCCATTTTCTGGGTGTAGGACGATTCGCACGACCGTAATGCTTTCTACACAAGACCACCGCCGCGCGCGACAGACCCTGCGGCGGCTTTTGCCTGAGCAAAACAGGGGGAGGAGAGATTTGCGGCGTGCATTACACGTTAAGACAGGTCAAAATCAAGGAGGCTCTGGAGACCGCCCATGCGAAAAGACCGTCTCCCCCATTTTCTTCCATTATGGACTTTCGTGGATATCATTCCTGAAGAATCTTTCGTCCG